ACTTTAAAAACATTTTTCACTCTAAAGTGGAACTAGAATGAAAGCAGTGAAATGGCTACTTTCTTTTCCTTTGTTGAAAAAATAACACAAAAATTATTACTGAAATTAAGAAACTTAGTTTATTGTAATAGTGTCTGAGGTGGCAGCCATAATAGATCTTGTTTATATAATACTGTTCAGGTTTGACCTGTCAGCAGTCAAACACCCCGCAGCCGCTCCCCCCCCACTCCCACCTGGGAATGGGGGAGGGAATTGGAGGGGTAAAGGGAGACCCGCAGGTTGAGATAGGAACAGTTTAATGATGGTAATAAAATGCAACAGTGACAATAACAGAAAATATAAACAGGCAATGCACAATGCAATTGCTCACCGCCCGCTGACCCATACCCAGCCCGTTCCCGGCCAGCGATCCCGAAATACCAAGATCCCCCAGTTGCAATCCCAGAAGTGAGAGAGAGAGAGAGAGACCCTTCCCGACCACCCCTCCTCTATATAGTGAGCAACAGTTGAAAACATCAGTGTGCTATCAGCATTCTTCTCATACCAAACCCCGTACTGAAACCAAAACACAGCACTATTCTAGCTACTAAGAAGAAACATTAACTCTATTCCAGCCTAAACTAGGACAAATACAAACAGACGTAGAGGAATCTCTGCTTACAGTAGGTTCTTTAGTCTCTGTTAAGGTACTAGGTGACCTACTAACTGGATCCAGTGAGAGTCATCTTGCTCAGAAACAGCTATCTAAATACGGAGTCGGATAAATGTGTGAGGAAGAAAACCATGCTGACTGTCATAATGCTAATTTGGCTGCTGGGGATCATGCTTGCTGCTGTCAGAGCCAGAGCCAACTCAGTAACTCGGGACAAGAAGAGGAGTTTTGGCTCATTTGTACAGATGAGGATGCTTCCACACTGGATAGAACACTTCTACCAGCAGTGTTGTCTGAAACAGAGGCAGAAAATGTAAACATCAAGGAGGAAAAAAGTGACATGAAGCAATCTGTCAAAGGGATCAGAGTGATTAAGATGAAAAAGACTGGGTGAACTTTAGAGACTAAAAGTTTCCTTAGCCTAGTAGCATACTACTGCAGGCTGGTGCCTGGTTTGAGTACCCCCACAGCTCCTGCATCAGATCTGTTCAAGAAGTAAGAGCCTAAGCACTACGGAATTGACTTAATGGATGTCAGAAGATTTCTGGTGTTTCAAGAAATCTGTTGATGAAGCATTATTTTGCAGAAGCTTTTGTGACCTAAGTCAGAGTTTCAGAAATTGATTTCAGGTACATAAATGTGAAAATGTAGCAATGGGAAGAACGAATGGAAATACCGCACCTGAGGTGAAAACCAAACTCCACTCCCTGCTAATTCTGCGAGGCTGGAAACTATGCCAAAATCAAATGGAATGGGGTAATGACTGAATTTTTGTCACTTCCGGAAGATGAACTGAAGCTTTCACTGTGCTCACGGCCGCGTCTGGAGTGCAAAGAACGCTGCCAGTCAGCCTCCCGGGGCTGTCAGCACAGGAACCGACACTCGCTGGAGCTGATGGCAGAATTAAGATATTCCAGATTGAGAGAAAGAGTTAAAATCATAGCAGACAGCAGGTACAACAGATACCTGCACAGTTATAATCAAGTGTAAAAAAATGCATGTCTATCACCTACTGCTTAACAGCCTTGGCATGGCAGGTACTTGGCTTTCAAGCATCAGCTGGCTGAGAATGTCAGAAAACACTCTACCTGACAAGCCATCTCTCCTTAGAAATCTGGTTTGTGGAGATCTCCTTATGATAGGGAGTATGACAGCTCTGAGTAAACCTGGGCTTGGTTGGAAAATATCAACGTTGACAGAGCACATGCCCTTCCTTCCTGGGGGGGCAGAAGGACAGAAGGCTGGGGAAAAAATGAGGTAGTCCAGCTAGCAAGTGCATGGCTGGACTACGTATCAGTGACCAGCATTACCATGCCACAAGGGCTTTGTTCAGAAGTATTATCACATTTCCTCAGAGACTATCCTTTACAAACTGTGCTGATACTGCACTGAACAGATGAGTTTTTAGCCAAAAAAAGATGAAGTTTGGAGAAAACCCAAGGATGATTACTGCTTTCAGAATAACAAACATTCCATCTAGGAGAAATTCTGCAATGACAAGGTTGAGCCAAACCCTTTCTTTTGTCACAACCATGAGAGCTAAAACTTGCTTTCCCCTCCCCTGTACTGTGCAGTTGGAGTTGCTGCTTCAGAAAACTGTGGGTATCTGAGCTAGACTCAGCAATTGGTGAGAGGGAAGGGTGTGGGACTGGTGCAATAGTGATGAGCCAGAACACCCAGAAAGAACAAAAAGCAAGACATGGAAGAGGATTTGTGTCAGACTGGTGCAAGAATTACTAGTTACTGGTCACCAGCACAATATAATGATGGCCATAAACCTCCTATTTTTTTGACATCTTCAAATAGGTCCAAGGAAGTGCCAGATATGCAAAGCACAGCCAAAAGTTTAAATCAATCAACATTTTAGTGACTAAATTTTCACTCAATTTCTAAATAATAACAGCTGTGAGAAGTAATGATGTTAGTCCACATTTACCCTCATTTTAGCTCTCTTGACTCCCGTGATTAGTGAGGAAGAGGTATTCACCTATTAAGATAAGCTAAATATATGTAAGGATGATTGTTTCATAACAATTTAAAACATGAAAAAGTCTGGCTTTCATCTGCAGATGGGGCATGCACTGATACACTACATAAGCTCTTATTATCCACTTACAATTATAATTACAGGGATTGTCTCAAGCTGCCAGTCAACTTGCCTTCAACATTCTTAGTAGTGAGCTATTTGCATTCCCTGTATGCCACCACAATATTTGATACAAGCTACACCTGCAAAGTTTTCATCATTAGCACCAGTCTGGAAACAACACATCCAAGCAGCTTTATGGGCTTGAGTGGAAATCCTGAATTTGGACCTAGAGGTCTTCAATAAAGACTATTAGGAACTCTTCATCTACTGCAGATCAGTTAATAGCAGAACTGGCCCCACTCCAGTACTTGGCCTTAGCTGCTGCAGGTATTTTGAAGATAAATCAGCAATTTCAAGAGGCGAGGAGCTAGCTGCTCTGTACACAGGCATCCCTATAGATGCTATGCTCCACTGCTTCCAAACTGTAAGCAAGTATCCACTGCAGTGGATCTCTCTCATTCTCCTATGCATATCATTAAAAGCTTCACTCAAGGTGTGAAACCCCCCCAAAAATAAAACAGGCAGTTACTTAATGGTCTTATTTACCATGGGGGAAGATAAAACACGAAGAAGCACAGCCTAGCAATGAAGACAAGACTAGAATCTTGTCTAGAGTGTTCTCATTTAAATCAGTATGATCTTGCACTGATTTAAATAAAGCAAGGATTTCTCTTGAGAATCAGCAATAAAGCTGAGAAGCAACATTCTTCTTGCTTCACATCCCACCCCCCTATTTTTTTTTTTTCCCCACAGATGTGAAGGCTATTCAGTACAAGTTTTTAAAAAGTTTGACACTTCTCACTTTGGGTTCAAATAAACTCAAACTCAGACCAAACCCTAGTAGAAACAGTTAAAATTAAGAGATCAATGATGCATACTATTTGAATACTGAAAGCAAAATCTACTTTGTTCAGAATGACAGCTCAAGGATGCAAATCAAGAATTGTGAATGTTGTGGGATATAGGCTGTGGATGAGCCTGTCTACAGAAGAATTTACTCAAAATTTGTATTTTATATTATTAGTGTGTTGTCAATACAAATAGCTCTTTAAATAAGGAAAAATCTCATATAAACCCCATGTAACAGCCATATAGATACCCGAGTCTGGTCTTTGTCTTAACAAAAATCATGCTGATCCTCAAAATTTATTTAAACATTAACCAAATTAATGGCATATTAAATGCCAATGATGCTTCTTTTTTTTTTTTAGTAACTGAACCAAACACATTTTGATTTTCTTCACTTGACACACCTATTAAAAACTCACACCCTTCTTTCAGAGATCTTGGGAATCATTCCCAGGTCTACCACTGTGTAATGTTGTGCCAGTCACATAACTGTGTTATGCTGTTTCTGTTCTGTCACTTGTAAGATAAATGTACCTATGCTATAGGTTTGGTACCGTAAGATTTAACAAACATTTGTGAAACTCTGAAGCCTTGGAGCACAAAGGACTATGGAAATGTTGCTGTGATTGCCTTAAAAAACAGGGATCAAAATGTAAAATCACATTACACAGGGTAAAGGAATTTCAAGATTGCAGCCCTATCTCTGGCTTTCTCCCTACTCAGGGAATACAATGCACTTACACTACAGACAGCACCTGATATTTGGTCCTTTATGATGGTCAGGTATGCTCTGGGGAGCTCAGTGGCATAGCCAGCAGTTCGAAGTCTACTCTCTCTTTTCACTGTACACGAAGGCGATGTAGAGAACGCAGATTTGGACACTTCCATTTTAAACAGGGGTCTTTGTAATCTGTATCTCTATATAATGTAACCATAGATATGAACTGCAGTCAAATGGTCTGTAAATACCAGTAAAAGTATTTTGTGAAGTGAGGACTTCGGACTTATTCCTGCAAAACATGTTTTTTCAATGAGTTTTTATGGACACTGGTTCTATAAAAACAGAAGTTCTCATTGATTTTTACCTGGGAGTTCTCCTTAAAACCAACAATATGACATCGGTTGGTGATGTGTATTTCAAGACATCTTCTCTCATTTGCTATTTCCTCATCTAATCTTAAAAGCAAAAAGTTTGTTTTGTTTTTTTCCATAGTGAGACAATAATCCAATAATAAGTATTCCCCATCCAACAAAGCTCTCAAAGCGGTGCCCAATTGCTACCTAAGGTTTCAGGATTTAAACACATCATGTGCAGCTGTAACCTTTGCTGAATCAGACACTGAGTGTTACACAGCATCATACTAGTTTCCTTGTTATGAAAGACACATCCCCTTTTGACACAAAACTCACCTTTTCTTTTTAAGTACGATACAGTTTCCTTCATTACTGGGGGGATTAGTTCACCTTTATTTTTGTCCTTGATACTGTTAGGGAAAAAAAAAAAAGTAACAACCTTTAAATGGCATTTACAGACAAAGAGTCAAAACCAAGACAGAACAGTCTCAGCAAAAACCTAAGAGATATCTGAGGGAATACATTAAATTCCACAAATTAAAGAGCTCATACCTCGGTGCCTGCACCAAACACAAGAGCCTTCCACAACTCCAACAGGCCCTGAACGAGCCACTGAAACAGGTGACCTGGACTTCTATTCAAAGAGACATTCCTAAATGCTTTCTTCTTGCTAAAATGGTGCGTAACTCCAACGGCGCTAAGTGAGAATTAAGTGCTATTTACTGTACTGAAGGCGAGTCAAGGCCCGAGCAGCAGAACGGTGTTTCAGACTACACTTTGCCCCCACTCTAGACTGGGTTTGCTCCAGTTCTGTTGCCCTCGCTTGGCACGCCCCGGCAGGCAGGACTGCATCTGACCACGACGCAGTGAGGGCGGTGGCTCTCACCAGATTTGGTCAGACACTGTTTATGGAATTGGGTTTCAAGACAGCTTAGAGGCAGGCAAGGAAGGAGTTGTAGTGAATACTTCAGAGTAAGTCTTGATCAAGGGATGCTTGCATAATTAGGAGCCTTTTATCATGCAGTTTTTTCTTTGTCATTTGTCTCTCTTTAAGCCACAGCGTATGTATAATTAAAAGGATATTGTACTATTTATTTTGAAGGCAAAGAGATGCAGCGAGATTATTAATGCTTTGAATGATTCCTATGAAATGAGATGTCTTTCTCTTTCATGAGTGAACAGTTGAGGCAAAAAATCGAACACAGTGTTTTCTTGGTCTAGACAGTGCAAAAAAATTCTGCAATTATCTTATTTAAAAAAACCCCTCTTTGACAGTTTAAAAAATACAAGAAAAGAGATGGTCAGTATCTGCCGAGTATTCTGCTACATTTTTGTAGTAATCAGCAACAAAATAAATGACCAGTCTCAGATTTTAAAGTGGAGTTAATGTGTATAATTTCATATTAAAAGGTGACCAGCTTCACCAACAAACTCTAAAGCACCAGCACAAAATTGCACAGAGATCAGTGACTGTATCAGGAGAGTCTGTAAGTGCTGCAACTCATCCACAGAAAACACAAGATGTTTATACAGCACATAAACATAGTCTTAAACTAGTGCTAGTAGCTGAGGTTGCACCTGTGTGGTGGGTTGACCCTGGCAAGACACCAGGTGCCCCTCCAAGCCGCTCTGCCATTCTCCTCCTCAGGTGGACAGGGGAAAGAAAATATAACAAAAGGCTCGTGGGTCAAGATAAGGTCAGGGAGAAATCTCTCAGCAATTACTGTCATGGGCAAACCAGACTTGACTTGGGAAAAATTAATTTAATTTATTGCTAATCTAATCAGAGTAGGGCAATGAGAAAAACAAATCTTAAAACACCTTCCCCCCACCCCTTTCTTCTTCCTGGGCTCAACTTTACTTCTAATTTCTCCACCTCTTCCCCCTGAATGGCACAGGGGGACAGCAAGTTGGGGGATTGTGGTCAGTTCATCGCAAAACATCTCTGCCACTTCTTTCTCCTCAGGGTGGGGACTCCTCACACTTCCCCTGCTCCAGCGTGGGGTCCCTCCCACAGGAGACAGTCTTCCACAAGCTTCTTCAACATAAGTCCTTCCCATGGGCTACAAGTTCTTCACCAACTGCTTCAGCGTGGGTCCCCCACGGGGTCACAAGTCCTGCCAGCAAACCTGCTCCAGCGTGGGGTCCTCTCTCCCTGGGTCCACAGGTCCTGCCAGGAATCCGCTCTAGCATGGGCTTCCCACAGGGTCACAGCCTCCTTTGGGCACCCACCTGCTCCAGCGTGGGGTCCTCCACGAGGTGCAGGTGGAGATCTGCCCCACCATGGCCCTCCCTGGGCTGCAGGGCACAGCCTGCCTCACCAGGGGCTGCACCAGGGGCTGCCGGGGAATCTCTGCTCCGGCACCTGCAGCACCTCCTCTCCTTCTGCACTGACCTTGGGGTCTGCAGGGCTGTTTCTCTCATGTATTCTCACTCCTCTCTTCCGGCTGCTGCTGCACAGGGCTTTTTCTTCCCCTTCTTAAATACATTATCCCAGAGGCGCTACCACCGTCGCTGATGGGCTCGGCCTTGGCCAGTGGTGGGTCTGTCTTGGAGCCGGCTGTGTGGGCTCTGTTGGACACAGGGGAAGCTTCTCACAGCAGCCACCCCTGTAGCCCCCCTGCTACCAAAACCTGACCATGCAAACCCAGCACAACTTGCAGAGGAGAATGATTCTTAAGAGTCTTTTTCTTTTCCAAGTGCTGTGATTTCTTTCCACCTAGATTTGCTTATTGCTTTATTAACATATAACAACTTACAATGACTAGAGTGTGTTTGATACAACTTCTGTAACACTGTTGCATGGAAGGAGCAATTCAGTATTATATTTTCTGTTTACACTACACACAAAAACTACTTTAAAATAAATATTAGAGCAACATAAGTCAGCATGGCGTGGTAGGAAAATTGTCAAATCCCCCCTTCCTCCTCATATTTCTCTTCCCTATGCCTATGATGGGAATTAGAAAAAGATACGTAGACTGGTTAATTTTGGATCTCCAAACTTAGGAGGTGTGTCACCTCCATCTTCATACGTGGGGTTGGTAGATGATGTTCCTCCAACAAGAAGACTCGAAGCAGGATCATGACTTAGGTACTGAATCACCCTGTGATTTCACTTCCCCTACTCAAACTGACAGGGGAATATACTTCACACTATTCTGTTATTCAGCCATCAAACATTTTGATCTCATTCATCACTCCAAGGACACAATGCTGAGACACCAGTGCCATTTCTTCCAGTTACAGTTTCATTGCCCACCCAGTCCTACTCTTCCTCTTATTTTTGCCATACAATCTCTTCCCAGGCACTAATGTCTGTATATTATCCAGGTTCTGCTAGACCATTTTTTTTTTTACTCTACTGTATATTTTGTGTGCCACTTCCCTTAATGCAACCTGTTACATGATTGTAATAAACTTGTTAATCCAGCTCCTAGAGTTTGTCCTAACAATATGTTTCAAATACCTAGACCAACCTGCTGTTTGAAAGGAAGTTGTTCCCTCAGCTGCAGAACTAATGAAATCGAACTGCTATGGATTTACATCCTATGTTCTACCTCTTTCCTCATCATAATAATGTAAGCACATTTCTTTGGGTCATCTATAACCTCACTTCACTTACAGAGTATTTTCATTTCCTCCTGTAACCACTTTATTTCATGGTTTCTCATAAGGTTAAGGAGTAGCTCATAACTAAATCGCCATCTAAATACTAACTGGTACACCAGAAGGCCAAAGACAACAGAAAAGGGAATTCTTGCTATAGCTCTTCTCCTTCCAGCCAATGATTTTTAAAAGCTTGTTGTATTTGTGAGAACTCCACTCCTCTGCCAAATTTGGTTGACATAAGCCCATAGCTCTTCTTCAAACCTTACTAAAAATCAACCAATTGAATGAATTTTTCCTGCTTTTTTTCAACAAAGTATCCATATCAGAATCTGAAGTTTATAGAATTCAATACCGCTCTCTGTGTGGGTTAATACTACTTTGTGGACACTGATGTATCTACATCTAACAGGAACTGTTTAGGAAAGGGGAAATTTTCCTTGATGCAAACAGACATAGGAATTTTGATAAAATACACAGTGAAGTTCCACAAAACCATGTTCATAACATGTTCATAATTTTAGACATTTGACCAAATAAATTCTACAATGTATGCAATGCACTTGCAGGAAGAAAAAGACTAACAGCAAGGAACAAGTTTAATTCAGATAATCCCAAAGTACGATGTTTTATATGTTAGTAATTCTCCTAATTTGTTGCTGTTTGCAAGTATGATCTTTAGATGAAATGATACAACTTCTTGTCCTTACACACTGGCAAGGCATCATTAATTTCAATATGAAACAGTAGAGGACTTGCTGGAGTAATCATTCTCTGCAGTATCGTAACAACATGATAATGGTCAGAAGAAAGATTTATGACCTGACTTGTGAGACCAAGTCCAACTTCAATATTCCCCATTATCACAGATGTCTTACGAGAGCTAAACCACAGGCCATAAGTGCTTCACAAAAAACCTGAGTGGAGAAGGCCATGGCTTGAAATGCTACCAGGACCAAGTTTATGACCTGGTCCTCAGAGCAGCATCCTCTTCTTACCCACAGTGACAATCAAGTACCTTCGTAAAATATCTCTCCTAGCAGCAAAATCCTCTCAGCCCCTTTCAGGATATGTATCACATCACTCCTAGTCTCTCCTGCTTCTTCCAGCTTCAACAGTCTTACAGCAGTTTCACGTACACTGGTGACACTGTAGAGTGGAAGGTCAGTGTTAGTGCTACAACCATGCAGGAGCTGTGCAGTGCTCTGAGACCCGGGTTGTTCTCCCCTTCCTCCTGCCTTCCACCCAGACCCTGGAGGGGAAAAATTAATGAGTAACCAGCCCCAGCAAAAGCTGGCCACAGCAAAGGGAACAGAGCCAGGTGAACAGGTAACAGTGAAACCCCTACCCTGCTCCAAAAGGCAGCTTCTGTGTGTGAACTGTTCCCTTGAGCAGCAGATCAGTGTTGTGTAACAACCCTGATGCAACAACATAGAACAAAACAGGCAGTGACTGTGCAGGCCCATTAATAAATTAGCCTTGCTAATAAAACACATGACGAAGGATGTTCTTGGGGCTCTTTGCATAGCATGCAAAGTTGAAATCCCCAGTGAAATGATAGCCCCTAGTAAGGGACTAAACAAGAAAAGGGGCTGGTAGATGAGGTCAGTATCAAGGTCAATGTTCAGGACACCAGCAAGAAAAAGCCTACATAAAATCAAGGTAAGGGAAAAAAAAAAAACATATTTATTTTAGTCTTTCTAATAGGGGAGTTATAACACACTCCTTGGGTGTCAGATAATTTTGTTTCGTGTATTCAGATCAGTACCCTAAACATTTAGGGCAACTTTTATTAAAATTA